GAGGTCTATTCAGAATAATATGTTGTGTTTAATATAATATTAATGTTTACAATGTTAAAATAATGTCAGAAATTTTAGTTTATTGGTATTGCTGTTTTCCTATCTTCAAGTTAAATCATCAATCAACATACAAAGTTAAACAAGCACAATATTCTGGTGAAAATTTAATTTTTAAATACGATACCAGTAATACAATGAAAAATTATGTATGATAAGCAAAAGTACCTTATTCACAAGCTAAGTTTAAACTTCTTGTATTTAGTAGTAAACTAGTTGTTGTTGCAGATGAGGGAAAGTTTTATGAAGAAAGATTTATATAGTTAAACTTAATAATAATAACTTTGGCGATGTTCCAAAATCAAGTAAAAGCAAATGAACGTTACGGAAATGAGTTGAGCAGAAAGAGTAGTGACTGGCACGAGAACACGATCATCTTATACATCGTCTTTTCTTGTGGCTGAAGGCAAATTAAGAAATAGTAATAGTACAAGAATGAAAAATACAATCAATTAGAATCAGAGCTTCCTGATGCTTTACGTAAACCAGCGTGACAACAGTCACACGTTACATGATAAATGGTTTCTGGGGAAAGCTGCTAACCCCATATCTCTACTAAAGCACAAGACTACAAACTACTCATTTACTTCCCTCTGGCCTTTCTCCCAATGTATAACAGATGTCGAATTATAGGCTTAAAGTTCCTATATCATACCAGAACTAAACTACAATGAATCGTATATTTACATAGTTTTGAAAGGTATATATATCGTATGTTATCTGGAGGTGGTTCATGGTGATAATCACTACAAATTTAAGATTTAAAATTCAATGCAATGTAACATGTTGAACTTATATAAATCATCTTCATTTTACATTCTAGTATTTTTTTATTTATTCTTTTTATAAATACTGATGTACGGTAATTATCAACAACAAACGTCTCCTAAACTCTGGAAAACTTAACTGCTTTCCTATGCCTATCTCATTTTAAATGCATACGTGTTTCAATTTGTTAATTTCAGTCATTGTCTTCTGATGGAACCGATTGGTTTATTGTGATATATTTTCTTCTATCTAAACACAACCATAATCTCTTACGGGATCTTTAATAAGAGTATACACACTAATATATATTTGATTATTTGTGACCTTCTAATGAGTAATCTGCGCTCAATAATATTTATGTTTGCATGCTGAATAAATTTGTTATAATTTATTGACGTATTGCCATAAAGAGGAGTGAGAATGTTATATTAAAACGATTTTGGAGCCTCACCACGTCGTTACAGCTCATGTTGCTACGTCCGATCATACTCTGACGATCATGAATCTTGATAATAGCTCTAAAGTGTAGTTTCTATTGACAAAGGCTGCGTCGCAAGGCTGAAATCTTAAAAATATACTATTCCTCCCTTCTTGCATGGGACGGTTGAATGGGAGGTATCTCTGTAGGTATAATGGTAAAGCCATACCCTATTACCTTCGTTTGTTTCTAGATGGAAACTTTGTTGATCATGTTGCCTTGGCACGTGGATGCTTCTTGGTTTTTGTCACTGACATTATTGTTCATGGATTCTTATCTGTTTCAAGATGCCGCATTTTGCTTACAACAAATGGGGGTGGGGGTGGTATGACTTGTTACAACTCTCTTTCTAGATGGACCTGAAGTTTGAAGTTGATCTATTTTCTTTTGTTTTTGATTGTATTAGGTATCCTTGTCTTGGAACTTCTAAATCTCCAATATAAAGACATTTTTATGACATGTGTGTTTGAATATTTTGCTTCGGGTAGTCCTGTGTTGAAAATATCTTTATAAATCTTGTAAACAACAAGAAACCAGCATATAACACATTTTTTAACATGTGCTGTTTAATTGCATGGAACTCTCAGAATCTTGTGCATTAGAGTCTGGGCTGAGGGTGGCATAGTGGAATTGAATCAAAAAGATTAAGGTTATATCCGAGATATGCCGCTGAGAATGATGTTTACACTTCTGACATGTAGGACAATATAAGTGTGACAATCATCCCATTTAATAAACTAATAATAGTTGCATAGGCATCATATGCTACTACTGACTTGTTGCGTCCCTATGATCAGCAATCCAAGTAGGAATGGTTATGCTTAAACCATTTAGTTTCTGACTGTTTAGCCCAGGTGTCGCATAAGGCGTCGTTATGGTTGAAAATAACAACATCAATACTATTTCATTTGAAAACATAATATATATATATATATTGCTTTAAAATTCAATTCATAAAAAATGTTTTGGTAATAGTACACAATACATGCTAATATATGTTTAGTTTATCGTTTATTTTCAATTATCGAATACAAAATGTAATCGTGAATTTCGCAATTTAAATTCTCATTTGTAAGTATCTATGTTTTCTTGATTTTTGAAATCCTCATATGATTTTTGACAGAGAAACTTGATGTGTTGTAAGTTGACTCTATAATCCAACAGAATAGAAACAAAGAAAAAGTTGAAATAGTCACCAAAGAGATCCGAAAATGTGAAGGGTTTTTTATTTAGATCTTTTGTTTAATTGAATCAATTTACGTGAAAACTGGATCTAGCATATGGTTTAGTTTACTTGTTTTGAATTCCGCGAAAAGCTACACAAAGGTTATTTGCACTAATTGTTTCTAATTCAACAGTGATAGACCACCCACCACCAGTCCTTAGGCTACACTTTTACCACGAACAGTGGGATTGATTGTCACACTATAACGCCCCCACGGCTGAAAGGGCGAGCATGTTTGGTGACGGGGATTCAAACCCACGCCCCCCAGATTGCGAGTCGAGTGTCTTAATCACCATGCCATGCCAGGCTTTCTGACATATGAGAAGACAATGAAAATATTAATCTAAAATCAGGTTATGGAAATTCATAACATTCAGCTCCATGGGTTTTAGTGTTTCTCAGGAATGGATCCACAGATTTACAGTATAAAGAATGGATATGTAACAATAAATTAAAAATTTGCATCTAAATTTACATTTTGAAAATTTCAATCTTCAGCCCTCATATGGTGGTCAAAACTGTATTGGGGATTCTCGGGAGGAATGAATCTATATATTTACATGGAAATTGATGAATAGGTAAGAGCTCTGTCAAAATAAGTGTCTACGTTAAAATATTCGAAATTATAAAAAAATGTGACCTCTTACTGAATGATGAAAACGTTTAAGAGCGCTCACAACTGGCCACACGGGCTTACTTAGAAATCTACAAGAACATTTAAATGTTCGTTCAAAACAGAGTGTGTATTTCTTGCGTACTTGAGATTTTCTGTAATTTACTAGTTTAAAATAAAACGTGTGTTCATAGCTTATATGCTTCTACGTTGTCTAGAACTTTATATCATGGGAAAGAATAAATGTAATTCACGAAAAATCTCAATTAGTTATATTTTTGATAAAAATGCAGTGATGTGTCATTCCAAACGCATATTTTTCAGATGACTTTACATTTCACCAGAAATACACTGACTCGCATTTTGTTAGTTATTCTGTTGAAAACCTTTTAAAAGTGTATGAGTCTCAAATACATTTCATTGAGTTTCATTACCATAGTAACTAATCGATTAGATTATGGTGAATTAAGGTCAAAGAATTACAGAAAAAGTAACTTGAGAACAAACTTGTCATTCAGTGGTTAAAGTCATGTAGAGTTTGATAAAGAGGTGAGGTATCCTTGTTTTCTCACAAAACCCAGTATTTCTTAAACCAGGATATTTGTTAAAACTACAGCCGTTTGGGAGCGGTCACAGTTATAAGAGAACATCGTGTTGTTTATATCAAAACAACTGGAAAAATTCGTTCAAGCTAACAATTTTCTCTAGTAACCATAATACTCTTGGTAAGATACCTTTTGACTAACTTTAGGTTAGAGTGTCAAGTCTTAGTAACATTGCTGTAACACCACATAGTATACAACGGGTAAACATTAACCAATGAGTATTTCAGTACTAGAGAAATGAAACAGCCTGCGTGTATCATAGTCGAGATGTCTTTAGCTAGATTACCGAGTAAAATTACCATAATCATATGAAAGACATCACATCTTGTCATAAACCAGGCGTATTAAATTAACATAGTCAAAATGAAACTTGTGGTGGTTTTAAATGATTGTTAGGTATTTGAAAATGTATGTTTAAAATTCAGGTAACCAGAATTCTTATGATATTTCGTTTGGGCGAAAATGTTTTGCGATAAATATAAATATAACAATGTCATTCATTATAACTACTTTGTATAACATCAGTTCCTTTTATAAAGTAGAAATAACTTCTGGCTAATACCGAAGATAAAATATAAGTTATTAGTATGTTGTTACACTTCTTTTAGAAGCATCAGATATTCTTAGAAATTATTTTAATATAACTGGGCTTGCTTCTGGCAGAATCTCAGAACAATTATGTTCAAAAGTAAGGAAAGAAAGTTAAGTTTATAATGTGAAAAACTAAGGCTAATACAATACAAAAATAAAATGAAACTGCTTAAACTGCGTAAAATAAATAAAACATTGCAAAACGTTGCATAATTATTGTACTCTATAACTGAAAAACGTAAAACATCTGAAATAAAAATACTTTTGTTTTTGAAAATGTTGAATGTAAACATTTGATTGAAATATAAGACTTAACAGTCTATATACATTAATGATGTGTTTTTCTTTGCTTATTTTCAAATAGTACGTTATCTTTTTTTTGTATAACCAATACTGAGTGAAAAAATGATGCACATCAACTTATAAAATCTTATGTCATGTAAACGAACTTATCTGGACAAAACGTACAAGTCAAGCTTTCATAATGTTAAAATATCGAAAAAGTTATGGCAAACATGCTTTAATTGAGTTAGCCTTGACACAACACCAGAAACAGAAAACATGCTAATATTCATATTTTGCATTTGTGTTCGAAGTCTTTTAAAAATATTTAAATACCAATGCTATTTTTCATATAAAAATATAAAGAAGTAATTAAGCTACCTTGTTGCATCCTAGTCCTTCTCTGCTTTATGGTAAATAGAACAATAACAGCAAGGATAACTAATACCAAAATTAATCCAAGTAAAATGGCTAGTAGGGGACTGAAGAGAGCTGGAGGAAGATTACCTGTAGGTTTAAGAATCAAATTATGAGGAACGACGAGAACAGTTTTCTATTTGTCACTGATACATTTAAACAACTATGTTAAAAGTCTGCAAAATCTTCGTTTCAGTTTGTACATTTATTTTGACTTGGTTAATCTTGTAAAATTCGGATTTTTCACAAACTGTATTTTTTCAAGTTTTTACATTAATTTCATTAGGAATAATTCAGTTCAATTGTTTGTACCTGTGTGCTTTTCTGCTGATAGAAGAGTTCTCGTCTCTAGCACAAGTGAAATGCTATTTCCTTGAGCATTCGACGCGTAGATAAAGATTCTCAAGGGACTTCCGGGAGGAAGGCCATTTATCTTGAAAATCGGTAGATCTAAGCTTGTGTGATTCACTAGTAATTCGTTGCTTTTTCTGTTGTAAGCTACAAGGTGAAAATGCTGAGTAAGTCCACCGTCGTCTCCTGCTGTACATTCAACTGTAAAAGATTTCTGTGTCTGATTTTCCACGCTGCAATTTGCAACTGGGTCAGGCCTGGCTGAAAGATAGTAAACAAAATACATTTGTATTACTTGTTTGCTTTAAGAGCAAAGCCACATTGGTCTACCTGCTGTGTCCACCGCGGGGATTTTAGCGTTGTATGTCCGTTAACGTACAGCTATGCCACCGGGGGATTCAAGTTTGTAATGATATACATATATTTATCATTAAATGGCCTGTTTCTTTGGAACGTATATAATATAAATTCTGGAAGCTTTCTGCACACTCTGAAAAGTTCAGTTTTATATAAGACTAGCTGGAGTATCCGTGGGTTGGACGGGTGAAATAAAAACTCGTTTGCAAGAAAGGATAGGAAATTATGCTTATGTATTTTTTTCATAAAACAAAAAAAAAACATTAAAAGTGTAATAAATCTACATAAAGGTACCAATGTTGAAAAGAAAGACACACTGTTTTCAATATGAAATCAGATGGGAGGTTCAACCCTCCCTTATATCCTCCTGTATCACTCTGTCAAGTTGTGCTACTTCGGTAGTTTTCCTAAATTAGATATGAAATTAGATGAGGGGTCCAACCCCCTCTTATGACCGTCCTTATGGCATCCTGTATCACTGTGTAAAGTTAGGTGGTGATTGATCAAGGAATGTGGAAACGTATAAGGCACAGATACACAAACATATTGACGTTTATTTATATAGTAGATGAGGGTGCAACCCCCACCCCCTTCGTGACCTTCCTCATGTCATCCTATGTCACTGTGTCACGTTTAATGCTGACTGATCAAGAAACGTATAAGGAACAGATGGCTAACAGGTGCGAACAAACAGACACAAATTTAGCTTGATATATTAGATAAATATTGCTTTTTGAATATTACGCAAATCTATCTGCGCTATCTAATTTAGAAGTGATAGGCTAAAGAGAAATCAGCTAATCAACACCACCCATGGCCAACGTTTGTACTATTCTTTATGAACGACTAGTGGAGATGACCGTCACATTTTAACGACCCCACTGATAAAATGCGATCAAATTCGCGATGGATCAACACGCGACCCGCAAAATGAGAACTGAGTACCTTAACCACCAAGTCTTTTTAGGCCATAATTTAACGTACTAAGTGATTGAGTTAATAAGATAAACTGTAACCTATATCTTCTGAAATAATAATACGTAATACCTATATAATTTGGCAGATTAATCGGTTATTGCGTCTTGTATATGAACCCATCAAATTTAATTAGATTTACTTATATTACTAGAAACCTATATTTCCTTTAGTGAGTCAACTGTGTTTGATTAAACTTTGGATGATTAGTGGCCATGGTGATTTATCAATAAAAATAACTTTTGGATTATCTTTTATTCTTAGTGATTATGCTGAATTCTCTTCACTAAATTAGACATTACATTTGAGATGAGTTAAATAATGTTCCTTATTTTCTTCTATTCAGGAGTGTTTAAAGTTTAGACAGTCGCATGATTCAAGTACTTACAATTCAACAACAAATAATTTGATGTTCAAATAAATACAGACATTCTATATCTAAAGTGCTTCTTTCAAGATTTTTGAGAAACAATTATCTAGATAAGATTTAAAGAAAAGCATCTTATATTATGATAATAAATATTTATCAGAAATAATAGTTTGTCTAGCAATGAAATATATTTGTAAATTCAACTTTGGAGCTTCGTGTTTGATATTAAGTAAGTATACTTGAGGATAAAATTTAGTATTCAAGAATCTATTTTTTATTCATGAACTACAAGTTTCCTATTTTAAGGAGTCGTTTTATCGTGATTCTAGACTGCGATCAAACCTCATAAGAGCATATTATATTAAAACAATATTTTCTTGGTTTTGAAATGGTATGTATATTTATATATATATATATATATACTTGCTCTTTTCCATCGGGTCAAATATATTTTGTGTTGAAAAGCATACATTATAATACAGGCAAGTTATCCAATAAATGTAAGGCTGTTTCTCACCTGCTGGTAGAATATTAAAAACACATGGCTCTTTTTGAATGCCGATGATGTTTTCTCCCCAACAATAAACGATACCATAATCATATTTACATTTAGGGGAAAAAACAGCAAAACTGGTTGTTCCAGTACTGTTGACTGAATCGGCATCTACGGTCTCACTTGAGGTGTTAAATGTCCATCTAAACACGACATCTGTAGGCTTGGCAGTGACTTCACAATATATTCTAACTTTTTCTTGTCTTCCCACTATATAAATTGTCTTCTGACGTGTTTCACAAACAGGAGCAACTGAAAAGATTTCATTGAACTAAGACACTAAAATATCAATATAAATATTCAAAAAAGGAAAAAGTTTCAGTTTTCTCAAAACTATCTTACGTAATATATGTTAATAGTATGAGTTAAATTTTAAAGACAAACAAATTCAGTTATTGTAATAGTAACAGAAAAATTGCTTGATGTTTAATAGAATTGAAATATATGTTTATTTGGTTAGTACTGAAACCATTACAAGCCAGTCGAATATATGTGGTATATAACACTACAATGTGTATTATTTTACAAGGTTATTCATTAAGTTTGTTAAAAACTTAATCCAGTCTGTGACTTATGTTTTACTTAGAAAGTGCTCCATTTCCCACTCAGAAGCATGTTTTAGAAATTCCATATCCAGCCTGCCTCTCTCTTTTCCTAAATTTACTTCATAAGGCTTTCGCTAATCAGTTTAATTTATTGTGATTAGCTAAACTAACACGGGTGGAGATTTTTGCTGAGGTCAGCGCCGGACTTTTAGGTCAGACTATGATTTTAAACTTGCAATACGGCCTGGCCATCCGACCTTAGACTTCTCTGTATGTTTATATATATATTGTTTTTGCTTAATGTCAGTATAGTCTAACCTAGCAGTACATGGTCATATTGACCTGCATATTGTATTGTACTTGTTTCTCACAGTGACGCAATGGTAATCTATAAGGACAAGCAATCTATAGGGCAGAGTACAAAGCAGCTCCAAGGCGAGTACAACAACTTATCAATTTTGGAGGATGATTTAAGGAGATTACATAGAAATATACTTCCTACTATATTTCTACTGCAAGGAAGCATGGTACAGCAGCCAAGGTTCCTAAATGAGCTTGTAGTGTTTCTCTCATTTATGTTCCATGTCCGCACCACCATTGCAGTTGGATTCATACCGTCAAGTGAAACATAGACACGAAGGAAGAAACATTTGTTTCGAATGTGGTGTGCCTGATCACTGGTGGAAGGAATGTTTACAATCTCTTTCAGGCCAACACAGCAATGGGTAAAGGAAGGATAACATTGAAAAATAGCAGTGGCACCACTTGTGTATGTAAGCTAGTAGAATCAAAACTGGGTCTGACAACCAACTTGAATGAACATTCAAGTCACAATTAACAGTATAGTGACTGGTCACGAGAACCATGGACCTGTTGTCATGTAGTATGTGGGGTTTTGTAGTACACTCTAGAGGAATCAAAACCCAACTCAACCATGGTATGTATCAGGATCTCTGTGTCAAGTCATTACTTCAACCAGTTACCATAAACCTAATTTGTGAAATGGATACAAGCTCAATATGAGTGGAGAGGCATATGTCCAGCTTTGTCTTATACTAAGCAAAGGTAATTGCTTTCAATCAGTTTTGTTTCTGTAACAGGAAAATTGCAGATCTGCAACAAGACTATCCAGTGCTGACAAGAGTGAGCCCTAAATCAGTGGACTGTGTACATGCATATTGCAAATGACATGATATCTAACCCTAATGTCCAAGTAGTAATTTGCAGTGTATTACATATATAGTCTAATATGTTGTCACCTTCTATAGTAATGAATAAATTCACGAAGTACACTTTTTTACTGTCTTGGAAACAAGGCTGCACTAGCTCGAAAAGGGATCTGTCCATGGTGCTGTACCATTGCTGATGTGTAACTATAGACATTTAGCTATTCAGCTTTCAGCTAGAGTGATCATCAACATAGTAACAAAGGCAGAAGTGATGCACACTAACTGTATTGCTGGAGTTGCAGCCACTGTTACCTGTCTGTAAACAAGTGTAAAGATTCCAGAGCAATTGAAAACTAAAGATGGGGATTGTGTAAAAATCTGAGCTCAATACACAGACATGGACTCAGTAATTTAAAATAAAGTTTAAATCCACACTAATGGAACAATACCAAATGTAAGTGGAAGCTACTTTCGATATTTCACATATCCTCTTCAGTCGAACTGGAAATGCAGTTCTTAAGTCACATAGTAGGTGGAAAGGGAAAGTCCACTGATACTGTGAATATCTCAAACTCAAGGATTTATTTTGTCTTCTAACAAATGAGAAGTTTCTAGCTTTTTAGATTTTGCATAAAATTATGATGGCCAATGTCTCCAAGAATGTCGCATCACTGACTGTGCTGCGTAATACTGATACACTTTTTTAATTGAAACTTGAGTATGAAGATGCATTCCAGCCCCTGAATCGTGATTAACATGAGCACCAGTGTTGACTTATTCTCGCCAACTCATGAGATCATGTCTCTTCAGTGTATGTCTTAGTCCTAGGCATCCTGGAATTACAGTGGCATTAAAGTATATTAGAAGTGAGAATTCTATATTTGAAAGAACAATCAAGAATTTTAGGAAGAGCAACTGAAGGACCCTTACAAAGTTTGGACACTATTTGCACACACATAACAAAGTGGCCAGTATAGTACTGATTCATCCAAAATCAGGCACTTGTACAGTCAGTTATGAGTGCAGAATGGCATACTCTAAGGTAGGAAATTATTTTGGTTTTGTACAATACAAAGACTGGAGGACTCCAGGGAAAGTCAATGTGTGATAATAGTTTTTTGGTAACATTTACACAAATACTTTGAATGGTGGTATAGACACTTTAATTAGTGTGCTTCACAGGAAAACTAGGATTACTATAGAAAACTCAGACAGAAAATGGTATGTTCGCTCTCTGGAAAGAATCACCTTGGATAAAACTGATCCTCCACCAAAACTTTAACAGGTTATTGATATGTGTTTATTATTTTAAACTTCTTCATAAAGTGGGTTGAAGTGTATCCGCTGGCTCACATGTTAATACACACCGCCACAGATGTGTTGGCTGAACAATGTATTTCATGCTTTGGATCATCTGAAGAAATCTGTATGGATCAGGGAACTAGCTTCGACATCTAGTTGTTGTCAAGTTTTGTCAAGTGTCAGTGGTGGTGAAAATGCATTCATTACCATATCTCCAATCTGATGGTTTGGTTAAAAGAATAGTGCAGACACTCAAGTAGATGCTTTCTGTATGTGTTAACACTGACTAAATGAAATGGAACTAGCACATACTATATGTTATAATGCTATACCATGCAACTGAACAACAGTTGACTGTTTGCACTGGAAATCTATTAATAGGAATTACTACTCCCAGTAGATTTAGTGCATGGTCATTTACCCAGTACACAGTGACCACAATATCCTCAGGAATATGTGGAATAACTATCTTCTCCATTGGCCAACGGACACGAGTTTGCATGGCAGCAGATTGGTAAGGAGGCTGTATGCAAAAATAAGCGCCATAAAAAACTTCGGTGAAATAATGTTTTCAGCCTGATGACGGATTATGGTTGTGGTATGTACTTGGAATGTGAAATTAATCATCATTCTGTTTTGACTAGTCCATATCTTGCCTGTTGATAGCTCAATGAAGTGAATTTCACTTCAACAAGCTTAAATGCTGTATCATTAATTAGCCTCTTGAAAACTGGTTATTCTAGAAATAATAGGTGGACAAGAAAGTTGATGATGAGAGTAGCGCTGTATTATCTCATCTCAGCTAATGAAGAGGAAGACAACAATAGTACATATCTGTTTTTTGTTTTGTTTTTTTTGGGGGGAAAGTCAGATGAGGAAGTACTATAGAGGAACAATCTACCTGCTCTGGTAATCAGTCCAAATACGACCAATGTTTATCTAATTGTTATGGCTGAAATTAATTGTTTGGCCAACAGTTAGGACAGTCACTTGATTAAAAGACCAATGAATGAAAGAAATTGTTATTCCTTTCTTTAAGAGTTACGAATGTTGTTTCATATGTGAATATTAGGTTAGGATAGTTGTTTCACAGAAAAATCAATAACTGACACGTTGTTGTGGGCCTTAATTGGATCTATTGAGCAAAATTTCATGGCAAATCATTGGTCAAACATTTTTCAACAATCCCATTGATTTGTTTAGTTGAGGTATGCAAAAATTTCTGCAGAGCAGACCATGAATAACTCACTAGATATACAGATACGACAGATGAGATTGCTATGTGAAAATCCTAGCAAAAGGTATATGTTGTAGTCAACTGTTACGATAACTGGGTACATTGATAAACCAGATAAAAGGAATTTGAAGACCCCGCTTTCCAAGTATTCTGGTTAATTATTTTCAGTGACTGTTCACCTATAGGAACTTCTTGAGAGAACTTGCAATCTTGTGCATAATTCAATTGAACTTTATGTCATGCCAATCCGCAATATCGCCCCTGGTGATCTGGTTAGTAATGTTTCATATTTCTTGAAGTGTATTCAGAATGCTGTAGTTTAATACAGGATGAGCAAATAACATATGCTGTATAATCTGGGGGAAATGTGTAAACACTTTGTTAGATTTGTGTCCTGTGTTTAATGGTTACCTTATGTAATGGGTTCTTTAACGATTCTTAGCTGGTAATACTGATGGCATAAAAATGGCTATCCAGTCTGGTTGTCATGGTATGATGGTGAAAATAGTTTCACTGTTATTCCCTGTGCAACAAGTGCACTAAATTACATATGCGTGTATTTTGTGGTTGACTAAACAAAATGCAAATTTGATAGATGTGTGTAGCAGAATATTCTATTTTTGCTTATATACTTCTGTGATTACTTTACTTTTGGGATATCATCTGATTTGGGGTGATTACAACTCAATGGATTACATCTGCAGGTTTCATTTTAGCATAATTAAAAAACAAAAAAAAACATGTGAAGTAAGTGGCAGGAACTGTTCAGGTTCTACGAAACCATGGGCTTTTTAACAGTGATGTAATGTGCTAAAAATTGTGTATTGGTTGTTATTTAGTGTGGAAATAGAAACATGTGTCCAAATGTTTTCCTATACATATTAAACCACTTTGTCTATGTGCTACATACATGAATATAATACATACAAAAGTATAATTTATGCAGGGAAATAAAACTTTTTGCCTTAAAAGATTCAAATTGGAAAAATTTCTTGGCAA